AGAGAGAGAGAGAGAGTGTGTGTGTGTGTGTGTGTGTGTGTGTGTGTGTGTGTGTGTGTGTGTGTGGAGAGATGAAGATCGAGTTCGCTCCTCTGCGTCTTCCTCTGCGCAGGCGTCTGCAGACAGCCGCAGTCGTGCAGTGGGTCTTCAGCTTCTTAGCTCTGGGTGAGAAACTTAGTAATATGCATTGCTAAGAACTTCATCTGAACAACTTTAAAGATGATTTTCTCAATATTTAAATTTTTTTTGCACCCTCAGATTCCAGATTTTCAAATAGTTGTATCTCAGCCAAATATTGTCCGATCCTAACAAACCATACATCAATGGAAAGCTATTTATTCAGCTTTCAGATGACGCATAAGTCTCAATTTCAGAAAAATGGACCCTTTTGACTGTTTTTGAGCTCCATTGTCACATAACTGTAAAGACACCTGTTTTTTTCCCGCATTTTCTAGAAGAAAAGCTTAGTGGTAAACCGTGGTTTATACAGAAAACGGTTATTAGAAAAAGTGAATATTTGTAATAGCATTTTTGTTTCTAGTAATTTAAATCTTAAGCAGAAGTTTGATATTTCAACCCAAAATCCAAAGAAAGTATAATTTTTGATTCCTTATAAAAATACATAAAGACACGTTTTACTGCATTGACTTGTGACTTTAACTTTATTTATGTATTTATTTATTTACAATTTTTAATTTTGTTTTTATTCCAATCGTGATGAATTAAATTCAGTAGATTAAGTAACAAAGTTGTTTTTAAATGTGCTGTATAAATTATGCATTGTGCAACTGTGAATATATATAAAGATTAGTAATCTACTCAATTTTAATTCATCCTGTACAATAAATAAAAAAAAATAAAAAAATTTAAAAATACAATAAATAAAAAAATGTTGTGACAGGATGATTTTATTTCTTCACTGTAAAAAATAAGTTGCTGCCTTAAATTTTAAAGTATAATAAAATTGACTTTACAAGTCATTTCAACTTAAACTGAGTTGAGTTGAATCTCATATAACTTTAAAAATGAAGATGAAATTGGTTAAATTTAGATAAGGTAAAGTAATGGGGGAACAATGAATAATTGATCATATCAGTTTTGTACAGTTTGGTTTCTGAAAATAAGTTTAATTTTCTTGAATTTGAGGTGAAATATGGGCCAGACATCTTTTTTGAATGTTTTTATGAAATTCATTTGCACATATTGTTGAGACATTGAGTGCAGGGATAGAAATTAGCCTCCAAAATAGCATAAATTAATATAATAAAATTTAAAAAAATGAAATAAATGTAATAATAGATGTTAAAAATAACAAAAAATTAATAACATAATAATTTGAAAGAAATAGAATAAAAAATAAAGTAGCATGAAATAAATAACAGTAATAAATTAAGAAATTAAAATAATAAAATAACTTTAATAAAAAACTAATAATAAAGTAATACATTTAAAGAATAAAAAAAATAAAATAACATGAAATCAATCTGGAGTTCATTGTGTTTGTGGATCAGAACTGAGCCTGAAATCTTTGAATCACAAACCATCAAACAGCAGCGGTCAGGTCATAACAGAATTAGTAACTGTGTGTGAGTGTGAGTGTGTGTGAGAGTGAGAGTGTGAGAGTGTGAGAGTGAGAGTGTGAGAGTGTGAGAGTGAGAGTGTGAGAGTGTGAGAGTGAGAGTGTGAGAGTGTGAGAGTGAGAGTGTGAGAGTGTGAGAGTGAGAGTGTGAGAGTGTGAGAGTGAGAGTGTGAGAGTGTGAGAGTGAGAGTGTGAGAGTGTGAGAGTGAGAGTGTGAGAGTGTGAGAGTGAGAGTGTGAGAGTGTGAGAGTGAGAGTGTGAGAGTGTGAGAGTGAGAGTGTGAGAGTGTGAGAGTGAGAGTGTGAGAGTGTGAGAGTGAGTGTGAGTGTGAGTGTGAGTGTGAGAGTGTGTGAGTGTGTGAGTGTGAGTGTGAGAGTGTGAGAGTGTGTGTGAGAGTGAGAGTGTGAGTGAGAGTGAGAGTGTATCTTCCAATGGGGTAAGAAAAATAATCTTAATTCAAAGGCTAAACAAGATTATTTTTCTTAATATAATATCTTAAGTCGTTTTACTTGTCAAGTAAATGCATCTGAATTCCAGAATCTTTAGATATTTATACTAGAAAACAAGACAAAATACTAAGGAAGAAAATCATTTTTTGCAGTGTATATGTGCTTTATTTACATGCATCTCAGAGCGGCTCTGTTCACAGTAAACGCTGCTCCGCACAAACTCTTATCATTTACACGTGTGGAGCGTCTCAAACTCTTATCTCTGCATGTTGTTGTGTGTTTGTGTTTATTATAACGTTCATCTGGGAACGCAACGTGCGCCATTTCATCAGATTTGTAAGGTAAATAATTTATAAACCTACGCAAACACTGGAGAATACGTCAATATCTTTGTCAATATGCTAACTGTTCATCGCGATTTCAAAATAAACATTTAAAACCCTCGCTTTGAGTTTACACGTTTTGATGTCCACATATTCATTAAATTACAGTGGCTATAGCATTTCTGTCCTAAAGAAATGGCCAAATATTAAAGATTAAGTGGACATTTGAATTAAATGATGCTT